GGCTCAGTGGTTAAGCATCCCTGAGTTCAATCCTAGGTACCAAAAAAAGAAATTGTATATATCTCTAACAAATATATCAAAACTAAACTTGTGGGCTGGGGCTGCAGCTTAATGGCAGAGCACTTGCCTAGCATGTGTGAGGCACTGGGTTCAATCCTTAGCACCACATAAAAATAAGATAAAGACATTCTGTCCATCTACAACCATAAAAAAAATTATAAAAAACAAAACCAAAAAACTCTACTTGTATATGTGGTATGTGTTAATTGAACTTTGAATTTAGGGGTTCTTTACTACTGAGCTACATCCCCAGCTCTTTTTATTTTGAGTCAAGGTATTGCTAAGATGTCCAGGCTGGCCTCAAAATTCTAATCCTCCTACCTCAGCTTCCCCAAGTAGCTGGGATTACAGATATGCACCAACACACCAAACAAAAAGAAATAGTTGGGATAGAAAAATGCTTTAGAAAAATATATAACGTTAATAGTGACTATTTTTGGATGGCAGGAACATGCACTTAAAAAAAAAAAAAAAAAAAAAACCTATCTGGGACCGGGGGTATAGCTCAGTGGCAGAGCAATTGTCTAGCATGTATGAGGCACTGGGTTTGATTCTTAGTACCACATAAAAAAATAACTCAAATAAAACAAAGGCACACCATTTATCTACAATTATAAAAAATTAAAAGAAAAACCTATATGCTTTCTTTTTGGTTTGTTGAAATTGTATTTTGTTACTTTCATAATAAAAGTAGCTCATTTCTACAGATAAAATTACATTTTGCTTTGAGTCTTATAAAACAAAACAAATTTATCTGGACTACTGTTAGATGACAGTGACAATGTATTTATAATTGCATACATAGATAACAAACACCTAACTTCCTAACTTGTGGTGACAGTAATAAGGATAATAAAGTGGCTATCTAAAATGTAGTCATTTTTGATAAAAAGGTTTCTTAATAGAAGCTAGCTGAAGGTCAAAAGGTGAAAGGACTCTAAGAGGTATTAGTATGAGAAGCAGTTGTCATTCCATTATGCATAATACTCACCTGCCATCTGTATTATAATGCAGTTCCATCACTGCTCCACTGTGTCCTTTCAATGTAGCATAGTTATCACAGTCACCATAGACATTCCACAACACTGTTAAGGAGAGAGGTGTTTTATGGGTATTAACATGCAAAACAAAGCACTCTACTGGCTGTGAAAGGTTACTCATAGCTTGCATGGTAGTGCACACCTGTAATCCCAGCTACTTAAGAGGTTAAGGTCAGCTTCAGTAATTTAGTGAGACCCTTTGTCAAAATAAAAAAGGGCCGGGGATGTAGCTCAGTGGTAGAGTGCTCCTGGGTTCAATCTCCTAGTACCTGCCCCTCCACAAAAAGTTGTGAATTAACCATCAGAATAGTTCTGAAATTATACTCTCTTAGAACACTGCTGGTTTGACAAAGTGAACCAATTTTCTTGACACTAAAATAAAAACGATGACATATTTTTATAACTAATAATATGAAAAAAGATAGTTCTTGAAAATTTTAATTTTCTTCCCTGTAATTTTAAAAAAGTTGACACCTACTTCTATATACATGTTCTGAGTCTGCGAAAATGATAAGACTTATAGAATCTACAACTTGAGGGTCACACAGCTATGACACTGTACTACATTCCTGATTCCACACTTAGTAAGTAACTACTACATGTCAAGTGTTAGAATAAATGAGAAGACATTGTTCTTTTCTTCAGGGAGAATGGTCTCGCAAGGATTGATGTTTTATGAGTCTTATTATGGATTACCTACCTAGGTAAGATGCATATCAATATTGATCATCATAGAAGTTCAACAAAGATCCCCAAGTCTTCCAGATGCTTAGCTACTGGTAAGAATAAGGATCACAGGACTAAAACACCAAAATCAAAATGGGCAGTGAAGGGCTGGGGTTATTGCTCAGTGGCAGAGTGCTTGCCTAGCATGTGTGGGGCACTGGGTTCAATCCTCAGTACCACATAAAAATAAACAAAAAATTTACAAAAGGAGCGGGTAGTAAAACATACATGATCCACTCTGAGGCAGAGTTAAAAGAAAAAGAAAAAAGGCAAAGGACTCATTTTACTTCATAATCATCTGATTATAAGACAATGAAGAATAAAGCCACAAGAAAAAAAAAAGTAAGATAATTCTGTTACGTTCTCTCTTGCTTTTTCAACCCTCCCCCACTCATCCTTTCTTCTTCTTCTTTTTGGTATTGGGGATTAAACCTAGGGCTGCTTTAATACTGAGCTAGATCATCAGCCCTTTAAATGTTTTATTTTGAGAGTCTTGCTACATTGCTTAGGGTCTAAGTTGTAGAGACAGGCCTAGAACTTGCAGTCTCCCTAGTTGCTGGGATTATAGTCATGTGCCACTATGCTCAGCTGACTCCCTGCTTCAAAGTAATTTCTCTCCACTCCTGTTTTTGCAGTTCTAGGGATTCAACCCATGGCCTGTACATGCTAGGCAATGCTCTACTACTGAGCTATAGTCCTAGCCTGATTTTTCAACAATGGGTATTCCTGAGTAATAGCTAAGAATCTGATAGCAGTACCTAATGATGTACAGGTCAATTATCTGAATGAGTTACTATTTTAGGATCCCCTCCTTCCTTCATATATGCTAAGATTCAGGGTATGGATTAAGAAGAAGGTCTCATACCTTTAAGAAAGGAAAGTTCTCTCTTTCCTCATAACCATCATCAATCTGTTAATCCTATATTGTCTTGCCTAAATTAGTTTAAAATCTGCCTTTATGAGGAATATATTCTAAACCACAGCCAATTCACTTTTCCAATTAGTAGAATAGTTCCTTCTTTCTGTATTTATACCACATGGACTCCAAATTCTACACCCAAGTGATCACTCTTCATTTTTATGCCTGGATTTTAGCATGTTTGCCATGCAGTTTATGTTGCCAATTTAGGCACATAACTTACGTGCTATCCAAAAAAAAAAAAAAAAAAATTTAAAATCACTATTTGGCAGAGAACAATTATTCCAGATTCAAAAACTATGCTTTGGGCTGGGGATACAGCTGAGTAGGTAAAATGCTTGCATTGCATGCATAAGGCCCTGAGTTCAATCCCCAGCACTGCAAAACAAACAAACAAACAAAAAAACAAACTATGCCTCACATATCAGTCGGTCAAATCCTGCAGATGCTAAGGTGGATCCATTTGGGTGAAACTTGCAGCAGTACACTTCTCCTTCATGTCCTGAGAGCAGCATGATTGGGGCTTGAAGGGAGGAACATCTTGGAGGTCCCTAAACAAAAGATAAGTATGAGGTAGCCACTGCTGTATGGCAAAGGAGGCTGCAAAATTGCAGGGTAAAGAGTGAAGGGAAAAGATCAGGAAAATGCTTAAAATGCTTTAGAGAAAGGCAGCTCTACTCAAGTAACTCATGCCTCTATTTTGATACCCACCTGATCATTCCAATAGAAATAAGGAATTTGATTACTCTGAATGAAATAGAAAGTCACTGGAAAGTTTTCAGCAGTCATATAATTTGATGTTTAGAAGGATGCCCCTGGCTGTTAGATTGATAATAGAGTGCCTACACAAGGATAAAAACAGAAATACAAGGCCCCTCTTGCAATAATGCCATATGAGATAATGACTTTAGAGCCTAGTGGTTGACTCAGGCCTGCAATCCCATCTCAGGAGACTGAAGCAGGAGGATCTCAAGTTCAAGACCAGCCCAGAAACTTAGCAAGGCTCTAACCAACAATTTTTTTAAAAAATGGGGCTGGGGATGTAGCCCAGCGGTAAAGCTCCTCTGGATTCAATCCCTAGTAACAACAACAAAATGTAAGACCAGGAGTAGTAACAGTAATAGAGTTAAAAAAAAAAAGTGGCAGTAATTCTATATATTATCCAGATCTATTGGGGTCTATGCCATCAGGATTTGCTGACAAGCTGATCGTATTAGCATGGTAACAGAAGTGTGATCATTTCTATTTTACAAGAAACACATTTAGGAGAACGGATCCCAATTCGAAATCTATTGCTTATTGGATAAGGGTTTGTTTTCCCACCTCCAAAATGGAAAAGTAACAGTTTCTAACTCTTATGCTGACACCAAGACTAATGTAAACTTCATATACAAAACATTTAGTACAAGGATCAATGAGTTCATTCAGTTGCTGTTAATAACACAAGTGCAGAGAAGTAAACGGAAAAGCAACTTGCCCCAAACCCCAAAGAGAGCCAATATTATTTATTTCCCTTCCTCCTTCCCTCACTATTCATTCGTCCATTCTACAAATGTCTCTGAATGTTTATTTTTATGCCGGATCCCCGGGATATTTAGGATGCAGAAGCCCGGGCCCTGATTGTGAGCCCAAGGTTTTTAAACTAATTTCACTGCTGCCTCACAGGGCAGTCGAAAGATTTAAAACGTGCCGCAAACATAGAAACATGTACGGAACATCCACGTGATACTGGTCGCCTTTATTGTCTATCTATTTTAATTTCAGGTGCATTCTCCCCCCGCAGTGCGGGATCATCAGGTACCAGCGTTAGGAAGAGACCGGGATGAGCTGAGGGCCGAAGGCCGCCGGCCTCTTCACTTACCGCTTGCAGTAAAGCTCCCGGAGTCCCCTGTTGCTGCCCGGCTCCGGGGCCCGACCCCGCTGCTCCCAACAGTAACTCATGCCGCTGCCGCTTGACGGGAACCAGCGGCAACTCCGGGCCCTTGCGCTTCTGCTGTTCTATCATGGCGGTACCCGCTGTCCTCAGCGCCGCCACTGACCGCGCTGACAACTTCGGGCGGCCTGTGATTGGCTCCGGTTTAGTCCTTCCTCCAGAACTTCCGATTTGGAGAAGCCAATAGGCTTTCAGTATTTCCCTCTTGCACCGCCCTCTGGATACTCTCTTGTTATTGGTCATTTTTTCCTGACGTCACGAGAGTGCAATTCCAGGATTGGTGAACGCGGCTGGCGTCCCTCCTAGGCGCGCTGGGTCTTGTGGGTGGGAACGCTCTGACTGGGTTTGGCGTTTCGGGCAATAAGGCGGCTGGGGAGATCTGAAGCTGACGCCAAGTGAGTTTGAGGGAGAGTCGGGGTGGGTGCTTCCTCGAATCTAGAGGCAACGCCAGTCTTGTGCGGCCTGAGCCTGCCCTTCTCAGCTGAAGGCTCTGATTGCAAGGGGGCGGGAGGCCCCCGAGTTCTGAGTTCTGATAGCCCCTTTGCGGGCAGGAGCAGAGCTTTGGGGTCTCTAGCGGCAGGACTGAGACCCAGCTGCTGGTGGTCGTTGATGGCTGCTGCCTTCGACAGGCGCCTGCTATGTCCAGCCCTGTGCCTGGCGTTCCGGGAAGACAGGCCACTCTCCCAGCCTACGTGGGGTGCCCCTTTGGCTGAGGAGGCCGACTTGTTTCTACCACTGATTTTGCAGTCATTTATGAGAGCCTCCTGTACTCTCCTGAGAGAGACAGCGATGAAGGACATGTCCAGCTCCTTCTCCAGAGCACAGCTTTACTGAGCGAGATTCAGACCCCGGAGCCAAGTCTTCTCAGTCGCCCTACTGCTATTTCTTGTGCAGAGCGTTAGGGGATACATTATGAACGAAACATGGCCCCTATCCTCAGGTGGTTAGAGTGTGTTGGGAAAAACAAATGTTAAACAGTGAGCTCACTAATAAATGGAAGTGCTGCTGATGCTTTTCACGCCTGAAGTAAGCAGGAAGGCTTTTCTGAGGAAAAGATGCCTGAGCTGATATCTGATGGAAGAATTCTAATTATACGGGAAGAGGGGAGGGCAGAGCGTTCCATACAGAACAGCATGGACACAGGTCTCATATCAGTTTAGGAATATTAAAACAAAGAGCCAGTGTGGCTGGTATAAAGAAACCAAAGGGGAGTATGATACAAGATGAAGTTGGAGGTGGTAGAGATTAGGCCTTGCAGGGATTTGTAGCTTTTACTTCTAAAGGGAGAGAGAGTTTTCCCTCTCCTGGGGAGTGGGGCTTAATGGTGTGAACAGGTTGGAGGGAAGGGAGCCCTAGAGGATACAGATAGATCTCTTAGAGTATGTAGTGATCCTGGTCAGAAAGGTCAACAGGACTGAGATGGAGCTGCAGAAAATTAGATTCTAGAGGTATATAGGGGGTGAGTGGATGAGAATGATTTGGTGATGGACTGGATTCATAGAGTGAAGAGACAAAGATAGCTTCTAGGTTTCTGACATATGCAGTTGAATATATTATGGTAGTGTTCACTGAGATCATCTTCACCAGAAGATGACTAGAGATCAGTTTTGTTTGTTTTTGGTACTGGGGATTGAATCCAGTGGCGCTCTTCCTCTAAGTTGCTGAGCTGCACCCCTGTAAGTTTCTGAGGCTGACCTTGAACTTGGTGCCCTTCTGCCTTAGCCTCCCAGGTTGCTGTGATTATAGAAATGTGCCTCTGTGCCTGGCCAACACTAGGTTTTTTGTCTGTTGTGGTTTTTTGTGGGGAGGTAATTGATGACATCGAGGAGGTGGTTTGAAATAAATCTTTGGTTCTCAGTATAGAGATTTGTATTGGAAATATAAATTTGAGAGTAATTTGCATATATGTGATAATTGAGCCATGGGTGTGGATAAAATCAACAAAGAACCTTGAATTTTTCCAACATGGCAAAGAACAAATGAGTGAACCTACAGAAGAAGTGTAAAAGGAGAAGATAGAGAGGAAGACCCTAAGAATGTCTCAGGAGTAAATGAATGATCTGTGATAGAAACTCCTAGACAGTATTTTTTTTATAGATATAATTGTAAGCAGGAGGAGAGAATCTTGTAGCTGAAGAGGATGAGGTTATCAAGGATCTAATTGAGAGAGTAGTGGAGAAGTTGAATAAACAAGAGAGAAATTGGGTCACTAGTAGTATAAGATTTCTGAGAATGGTAATGGGTGGGACCCAATGAATAGATAGAGGGATTAGTTTGAGAAAGATGAATAGTTTCTTCATTTAGTACAAGGGAAGAAGGAAATGAAGACTATAGATACAGGTTGTATGTTTGATATTCATAAAGTGAGTTCCCTGTCTCATGGCTTTTATTTTCTCTGTAAAGGAGGAAGTGGGATCATATACTTAGAGAAGATCAGAGATTTATGAGTATTGCAGATATGGAAGTCATTGTAGAATACAGGATAATGAGCTTATGTAGTATTGCTGGGCAGAGTTAAGGGCCCATTTGAGGTTGGAAATCAAAATTTTCCAGCACATCAGACTGTTCAGTGCATGCATGGAGAAAACCTATCTACATATGGCAAGGACTGTGGATTTGGCTTTTTCAATACATATTCTAGCCTCTAGTGCCATCACTTATTGAAAGAGATGGAAAGCTAAAAACTGTTTCCTAGACTCCTTTGTACTTAAGATGGGAATTTAATTTGGAACTGAGTTAAATGCAGAGACAAAGGGTATAAGGCACGCAGTTTTGCTGACAAAGATGGCAGTGGCAGTGAGTTTCTCCTGTTACCAGTTTTCTGGTTTGGTAACTTTCTGTGGTGACAGCCATAACCTTATTCTTCTCCTTTTTTTTTTTTGTTTGTTTGTTTGTTTGTTCTTTTTACATATACATGACAGCAGAGTGTATTTTGACATATTATACATACATGGAGTATAACTTTCCATTCTTTTTTAAAATTTTTTTTAGTTTTAGATGGATATAATACCTTTATTTTATTGATTTTTTTTAAATGTGGTAATAAGGATCAAACCCAGTGCCTCACATGTGTAAGGTAAGCACTCAATCACTGAGCTACAATCCCAGACCTAACTTCATTGTGGAACCATAACCTTTTTGGTGGGGGTGGAGGGTGGGGGTTTGGGGGTTTGAACTCAGAGGCACTCAACCACTGAGCCACATCCCCAGTCCTATTTTGTATTTTATTTAGAGACAGGATCTCACTGAGTTGAGTTGCTTAGCACCTCGCATTTGCTCAGGCTGGCTTTGAACTCGTGATCCTCCTGTTTCAGCCTCCAGAGCTGCTGGGATTACAGGGGTATGCACCTGGCCATCACTTTCTTAATCATGCAAAAGTCTTGTTATTTTGTGGGTTAGGAATTGTTTAGGGACATTTTGCCAAAGCCCTGTTACTATAGTGTTTCCAATAATTTTGGTAATACCTGCGGTAAATTCCTCTCTGCTTTAGAGCTATAGTGGATAGTGTGTCTGCAACTATACTGGGGATATTGCCAGATAGGTAAGCTATAGAAACAGAGTTAAAGGGTTCAGGGTATTGTTGAAGTAATTGCGCTGTAGAATCTAAGGTAGATTGAGAGAAAAGTAAATAAAAAAGAAAGGACTGATAGGTTAGAAGAAAATAGAGGTAAATAAATTAGGGTTCTAATGGGATTGAAGAAGAGTATTCTCTGTTAGTGGACTTCCATTTATCCTAAAAGGCCTACACAGTTGCCATCTCTGAAATTTCCCTCCTTCCCCATCTTCCTCACTATGACTTTAGTACTTACTTCACTGAATTATAATTTGTTGTCATTCCTGTCAGACTAAGAACTGTTTGAGGACAGGGACTGTGTTTAAAAGGTGACTTAGTGTATGTGGCCCTTGGAATGGCCCAAAATTTGTCTCTTTCTAGCCATGTGATATGGAAAAGTTACTTCAATCCTATAAACACTTAGATATTTTGTAGAGTTGTTTCAGAGGTTTAAATAGGTTTATAAAGCACAGAACATTATATATAAACACCCTTAAATGTATTGAATTGATGAATTAATTAACAATAGGGCAAAATTAAATACTTTTATTTTTATTTTATTTATTTTTTTTGCAGTGCTGGGAATCAAACCAAGAGCCTTTTGCGTGCCAGGCAAGCCGTCTACCACTGAGCTATATCCCCAGCCCCAGTATTTTTAATTTTAGTTAAAATTAAAATTTTAAATGTGGTAATAAGGATCAAACATTTGATTTTACAATTCAGTGTGCCTCACTTACATGGTGCTAGTCACTGGAGATTTGGGGAAAAAGAATATGATGATATGCAGGACAAGAGCATGCTTGCAAGAATTTGAAAATCTAGAAGGGAGGAAAGCTGTTCATTAATATGATTTGACTCCCATCTCTATCATTCATAGTTTTTTTCAATCTTGAGCAGTTACTTAACTTCTTTTATGTCTGTGTGTGTGTGACTGGTGATTGAACCCTGAATGCCTTATCTCTAAGCTATGTCTCTATCCTCCCCCTCCTTTTTTTTTTTTTTTTTTTTTGGTACTGGGGATTGAACCCAGGGGTTCTTAACCACTGAGCCACATCCCCAACATTTTTTTTTTTTTTTTTTTTTTAAGAGACAAGGTCTCCCTGAGTTGCTAGTTTCTGAGACTAGCTTTGAACTCGTGATACTCTTCCCTCAGCCTCCCCAGCTGCTGGGATTACAAGTGTGCGCCCCAGCGCCTAGCCCTTTTTAAATTTTGTTTTGAGACAAGGTCTTGCTGAATTGTCCAAACTGGCCTCAAACCTGTGATCAGCCTCCTAAATTGCTGGGATTATAAGTGTATGCCACTATGCTTCACTTATGTTTTCATTTTTTAAAAAATATTTTATTTAAAATATCTAATATTTTAATATTTAAAACTAAAAGTTGTAGTTGGACACACACCTTTATTTTATTTATTTTATTTTTTATGTAGTGCTGAGGATCGAACCCAGACCCTCACACGTGCTAGGTGAGCGCTCTACTGCTGAGCCACAACCCTAGTCCTTATGTCTTTATTTTTAAAGTGGTAATGATAATTGCTTAGAGGTGGTCAGAAAGAGAATTAAATTAATTAAGCACTCATATATTAGCTATAATTATTAGAGAACTTTGAAGGGGCCTTAGGAATAATTGACTGAAAGAGTAGTGTATGGTAGTAGAGTAAGTACTAGTCCTGGGGTCTAATGCCAGTGTTGCTAACTATGAGAAGCCTTTGTCAAATCAATTCACTTCTCTTGGCCTGTTTCAGTTAAATAAAAGTAGTCAGCTTAATTATCTTCATCGTTCCTTTCAGCTCTTACATTTTATGAGCCTACTTTTTGTTTTATCCTAGCTTTTTACTCTTCTTCCTGTTTTCTACATCTGACCATCAACAGGTGCACAACTGGAGTTTGAATAGTCATTCTAGAAATTTGGTGGGAAGGAGGAAGGTTTAGCCATCAGTTCAGCATTTGAAAGTCTCCCTTTTGCTTACCTATCTAACATTGTATGGCACCTGGTCCTTCTTCTATATCCTTTAGGGACCAAAATGCATTCCTCCTTCTTTATCTACTTGTAGGTGGCATACAGTAAGTCCTGATTCTCTTACTCAAAATAACTTTGTGTACCTGTAGTATATCAGGCACTGAAAACATGAAATAAGAAATAGTTGTTGATTTTTTGCTTGAATTAATGGATTCAGACCTTACTCACTCTAGACTCTTTCATGAACAATTTCTTTCTGATTACTCCTCGCTGATTTATCTCATGAAGGACCTTGGTAGTGTTAGAGCTGTACTCTACAAAGTTTGGCTGTGGACTCTAAATTCTAGAGGCAGTTTAGTATGGTGGATAAGAATGCAAGCTCTAGAGTCATTATTCTTCATATGTGGTGCCAAGGATTGAACCCAGGGCCTTGCACATGCTAGGCAAGCACTCTACCACTGAGCCACAATCCACCCCATATATCCAGTATTTTTAATAAGTGGACTCTCCTCTCAATTCGAAAAATGCATGCCAGTTTCCTTCATAACAAATTGTTTAGGTTTCTTAGTTTTCTGTTCTACAGGAGTAACAAAAAGGAGGGTTTTAAATACTACCTTTCTGTACTCTTCTCATAGCAGAAATTTGTAAGGAACAACTTAAGTTCATTTATGTTATTTACTTTCTATAACTTTATGTGGAGAAGAACAAATGATAGACTTAATATGTTTGAGCTCATTTTAGATGTCCCAATTGCTGGTGCTTCTTTTACCAGTCAGCTTAGGGTTTTTCTGCTCAGTCTGGATAGAAATTACAAAAAAGGCAAAGTATAGCTCTTTTAGTGTTAGCAGCTCTAAACTCTGGGTGCCAGTGGCTCTCAGCTCATGGTATTAGCAACCATCCCAGCTACTTTCAGTAACTCTCCTAGCAGCTCTCAGCAGCTGGAACTAGTAGCTCCCAGCACCTCTTCAGCAACTTTCAGCAGCTGTCTGGCCGCCTTTCCAGTTTTTTTAATTGATTTTACTTTTTTAAAATACACGACAACAGAATGCATTATAATTCTTATTACATATATATAGCACAATTTTCATATCTTTATATATAAAGTGTGTTCACGCCAATTCATGTTTTTATACATGTACTTTGTTGTTTTTTTTGTGTGTGTGCATTACAATTCTTATTACACATGTATACCACAAATTTTCATATCTCTGTTTGTATATAAAGTAGGTTGACACCCAATTCATGTCTTCATACATGTACTTTGGATAATGATGTCCATCACATTCCACCTTTCCAGTTTTTATTTATTTATTTATTTATTTATTTTAGTTCTCGGCAGACACAACATCTTTGTTGGTATGTTGGTATGTGGTGCTGAGGATCGAACCCGGGCCGCACGCATACCAGGCGAGCGCGCTACCGCTTGAGCCACATCCCCAGCCCCCCACCTTTCCAGTTTTTAATGCAACCAACCCAGCCTGCTCAATCTGAGATAGAAACCATGAATGGGCAAAATAAAACCACCTCAAAGAGGCTTTATTTGGATTGTGCTGCAGAATAAAGGAGAGCAGTGCACAGGATGGAGGTTCCCAGGTGGACCCCATGCTGCTTGTATGCTAAATGGGGTATCATGTGCACAATCTTCTGTCTGCTAATTGCACAATTCTGCTCTGATGCCAATCTGGGGAAGATTGCTGGACTGGCCTATCCTGGATGTCATGAGTCACCTCCTCAAGGACTGGAGTGGGTACATCTGAAATGACTGTAGGGTAGGCAGAGATATTTGGAATGACTATGGCCAAAGTGAAGTCTTCTGGGGCAGTTACTGTATATCTTGTACAGCTGCTCCTGAAACTAATGTCTCCTTGGCAAATGTGATAGAAGTGGTTACTGCAGCAGCTGCAGAAGTGGCAGGTGACTGAGTGGGGACTGTGGAGCAGCTTTCACTGCAGAAGTAGTGGAATTGATTCAGTCTAATTGATGCTTACATAGAAGCAGTGGCATGGGCTCAGTTTGCCATGATAATTGCAGAAGCAGCAAGATGCTGATTTAGATCCTACCTTCCCTGACCCAATTGTAGTGCCTGGGATTGGTGCCTGTCATTCCAGATGGCAAGGCACAAACTTGATCCCCCTCTGTGCCTCCCTCTTCTCACTGCCCTGGCATGACTGCCTATATGTGTCCCAAGTAGTCCTGGTGGTGGATGCAATTGAGCAGTGCACCTGAGGGCAAGGCACAACAACCGGTTGCCCATTTCAACTGGTCCTGTCTCAAAATAAAAATTAAAATGGGCTGGGAATGTAGCTCATTGGTAGAGCATCCCTGGGTCCAATCCTCAGTACCATCCAAAATAAAATAAAAACTTGTTTTTAGGACCATATTAATTATAATATTTATTTCAATGCAATTCATAAATATTAAATTTGGTGTATCCAACAATGGGATTATTATGTAGGCATTAGAAAAATGTGTGTGTGTGTGTGTGTGAATGTGTATGAATGAATTGCTATAATCATAATAGACAAGGATCTGGGGATGTAGCTCAACAGTAAAGCACTTGCCTAGCAGTTGTGAAGTCCTGGCTTCAGTCCCTAGCACCACAAAATAAAAGTTACAAATATATTATGTAAGAAAATGGCTGTTAGAGCCAGGCACAGTGGCATATGCCTGTAATCCTAGTGGCTTGGGAGGTCTGAGGCAGGAGGATCATGAGTTCAAAGCCAGCTTTAGCAATGGCAAGGCACTAAGTAACTCAGTGAGACCCTGTCTCTAAATAAAATACAAAATAGGGCTGGGGATGTGGCTCAGTGGTTGAGTGCCCCTGAGTTCAATCCCTGATACTAAAAAAAAAAGGAAATGGCTATTAGTGATTAATGATTTAATAAAATAACCCACTTCTTAGCCAGGCACATTTGAACACACCTGTAATCCCAGCAGCTGGGGAGGCTGAGGAGAGGATTGCAAATTTCAAGCCAGCCTCAGCAACTTAGCGAGATCCTGTTGCAAAATAAAAAATAAATAAAGAAAAAGGTCTGGAGATGTAGCTCCGTGATTAAACACCTCTGGGTTCAATCCCTGGCACCACCACCACCACCACCAGCACAACTTGTATAATTTTTTTTTTTTTTAGTTGTAGAAAGACACAATATCTTTACTTTATTTGTTTTTATATGGTGCTGAGGATTGAACTGGTACACATGCAAGGCAAATACTCTACCAACTGAGCTACGACCCCAGTCCCACACTTAAACAAGTTTAGGCTAACCTCAGCAACTTAGTGAGACCTTATCTCAAAAAATAGAAAAGGACTGGGATTGTAGTTCAGTGGCAGAGTGCCTCTGTTTTCAATCTCCAGTACCACAAAAATAAATAAATAAAATTAAAGTACTGCTTCTGCATATAAAAAAGCCTGAAAGAATATAAACCAAATTGAGTTATGAATGGTATTTTCTTCATTATTCAGGTATTACCTTTGTCTGAACTTTCAAAATGAATAAATGTGTTTTAATTTAATCAAGGAAAAAAATAAGCACTCTCTCTCTTCCTTTCTTTTTTTTTTTAAAGAGACACATTTATTTAGGAAAGCAGATGCACATTCATGGGAGAATGAGGACTATTTTCAGAGGGAGAGATAGCCAGTTCTCGTTTTGAATTCACTTATTGATACACACACACACACATATACGTATGTATGTATAAAATGAAGACAATAATAAAAATAGAAACTACCTATATTTTGAGAAAGTTTTGAGGATTAAATAACATCACATGTTCACCGTTTAACACAGTGTCTAGACATAGTAAGTGCTTGATATATGTTGGCTCCTATTATTATTCTGTTTTTGTGAGGTCCAGACCAATGTACTCCCTCATCCTCAAAAGCCTCTCCCTGGCAAAAGAATAGCAACAATAGCAATAAATGAACAAACAGTAAAACTAGTAGTCTAAAGGCCTTCTGAAGTAACAAAGCAAGATAAAGGAGCAGGCTTTATAGTATACTTGTAATCCCAGTGACTCAGGAGGATCTCAAATTTGAGGCCAGCCTCAGCAACCTAGCAAGGTGTTAAGCAACTTAGCAAGACTCTGTCTCAAATTTTTAAAAAATAAGAAGGGTTGAGTATATAGCTCGGTGGTAGAGGGTCTCTGGGTTCAATCCCCAATACAAAACAACAACAACAACAAAAAACCCAACAATAACAAACAAAATAAGATAAAGGTTTCCAAAATTCTCCAAATTAGAAGAGACAAAAGAGATTTGAATTAAAGTCCATGATGTTAAATCTTGTTTTATAGAGACAAACTGTGGACTGCATATTTATTTCTTCTTTAATGTAGATGTCTTTCTAATTGTTGCTTATTTCTTTGTAACAGGGCACTTGAGTTAGCTTTAGCAGAAGAGAAATGGAGGAGCCATAGAACATTAAGGATGAATTCAGGAAGACCTGAGACCATGGAAAACTTACCTGCTCTCTACACTATTTTCCAAGGAGAGGTATAGTCTTTTGTTCTTTGCAAATCTCTCTTTTACAGTGTGTTAAAAATAGATTAAGGGTGAAAGCAGCTGGATTTGATGTTCCTTATATACTTGAGACTGTCTTAAAGCACTACTGTGTAAATAGGAAGGGCCACTGGAGCATCTGGCCACATGATCTTCCTCTAAGCTGCAGGCATCTAACTGCATGCTTGATATCCTCGTTTGTATACGTTATAGCGTCTCTAGCTTATATTTTAAATTGAATTTTTATTTTTCTCACCAAATCTGTTTCTTTTCCACATCAGCCAATGAAATCACTATCCATTCAGCTACTCAAGCTGGAAATCTGGATATTATCCTTGGTTTCACTTTTCAATTTGATCTTGATTTTCTCTCCATCTCCAGTTCATCCACAAGTCTTAATACATCTTTTTTTTTAAAAAAAAAAACTTTCTTTAGTTGTCGCTAGATACAATATCTTTATTTTTATTTATTCATTTTTATGTGGTACTAAGGATTAAACCCAGGGCCTCATGCATGTGGGGCAAGTGCTCTAGCACTGAGCTACAACCTCAGCCCTGTCTTTTCTTTAACATCTTGGCATCTCATTAGTTCAAGATCTTCATATCACTTGGCCCTTATTCTTAGGAATTTTTAGGATCCCTATTTTTTTTTTTGGTACTGGGGATTGAACCCAGGGCCTTTTTTTTTTTTTTACTTTGAGACAGGGTCTCGCTAAGTTGCTGAAGCTGGTTTTGAACTTGCAGTCCTCCTGCCTCAGCCTCCCCAGCTGCTGGGATTATAGGCATGTGCCACCACACCTGGCAATTACACTGTTTTGACAGTTGGTTCACTGGATATGACTTGCTGGCATTCCTTTGAAATATTGCAGTCCAAACTACAGATACCATGAGGGAAAACAGAATAAATAAGCATCTAAAACTGACAACAGTGATGAAAAAAACAAGCAAGATAATCTGTGATTACAGATTCAATACAAATAATTAAATTCTCATCATAGAAATGGTTAGTTAATAAATGTGTCATTGTTGAAATGAACTATGATATGGTTGAACCTCTAGGCAAAATTCAGTGACGGAAAAAAGAAGCAAAAAAGAATATAGGTAATGTGCTTCAACCAAAGTAGTGAGTACCTGTATGAATTTCAGTGGTGGTATGGATAAGCAAAATTGGTTGGTTCCTAAATATCCCACTTCTTTTAGAGGTAAAAATGGTATTGACTTTTGTTCCCTTGAATAATTAGTATGTGTGTCATAAATCCATGAATTATTTACTGGTTTGTGAACAAAGACAAGAAAGAAAGATCCCATAAATATATCAGATTTCGATAGAGATTTCTGCTTAGCATGCCTAAAATGATGCAACGAGAAACTGGAAGGAGGAAGAAAATGTAATATTGCCAGACCTACTGTTTCCAAGATGATATTAGACTTGACATGAGAAATCATATTATTCTCAAATGCCAAGAACAATGGTATCAAAGTAAGCCACGTCCTGTGAAACTGACAACATATTGCAAAAAACATGCAATATTTGTTTGAAGTCTTGCTTCTTTTTACCAAAATTAGTTATGAACAGTTCATGAAAGTCACTTCTTTGTATATTGTTTAATGTATAAAGATATATTTGTCAATGTCCTATTTTATAGGATGACATATTTATGTAAAAGATGTTGTCTTTTACATAATAATCTCTATTTTTGTTCTTAATGATAATAAAGGATATGTAAGTTCTAGAGTGTGATTTCCAGCTGATTTTAATGAACGTGTTTCAGTTTTGTTGAAATATTCACAGAATTGAAAACTTGGAACTTTTTTTTTTTTCATTTGTTCTACTTAGTTTTACATGACAGTAGAATGCATTTCAATTGATCGTACACAAATGGAGCACAACATTTCAGTTCTCTGGTTGTACATGATGTAAAGATGCACCATTTGAGCAATCACACATGTACCTAGAGTAATGATGTCCATCTCATTCCACCATCTTTCCTATCCCCTTAACCCCTCCCCATCCTCCTCCTTGCCCAATCCAAAGTTCCTCCATTCTTGCCATGACTCCCCATCATAGATCTGTATCCACTAATCAGAGAAAACATTTGGCCTTTAGTTTTTTGGGGATTGGTTTACTTCACTTAGCATAATAATCTCCAGCTCCATCCATTTACCTGCAAATGCCATAATCTTATTCTCTTGTAATGCTGAGTAATATTCCATTGTGTATATATAACACAGGTTCTTTATCCTTTCATCTATTGATGGGTATCTAGGTTGGTTCCCCAGAAAACTTGGAATTTAATTGGCTATTTGCATACTTGTGTAATGTCATTCTCACAAGATACTTAAGCTTTACAAGGGCAGAGCTCTGCTTTGCTGTATATCTCAGTTTCAGGTAGATGGGTAGAAAATAGTAGGTGCTTGATCACTGAGTGAATGATTAACTTTTGAGGCATTGGATTTCTTTAGAGAGCAAAGGCTTTGGAACCAGACAGACCTGGATTCTAATGCCAGCTCTTTTATTTATTTACTAATGTGGGATACTTAAGGCTGTAAATGTCAATTTTCTCATTTATTAACTGGAGATAACTACTTCCAAAGGATTACTGTAATAGTTAAATAAGATGTTATCTATAAAAGTGACAGACATAGGAATTCATTAATGGTGTCTCCTTCTTCTTGAAGGGAAGATAAAACCCCCAAATGTTTTTCAATATCTTAAAAATGCCCGAAGTATTTTAACTGTGTATTCTTCTGGCATTCATTCTTACTTTACAGTTGGTAAAGTTTCACCTCCTAATGTTAAGAGGTCTTTAAGGACAGACTTTGTGATTGTCAGTTATTGATAACAGTTGTTCTGGATATCTGTTGATGATAAATTGATCCCAAATGTAAATGTATAAGATAATAACATTCTAACAAATGGCAAATGACTCTGCTGTTCAGAGTTTCTGTCTTTTATCTTTATGGCCCATGGTTTCCCCAAAGGTGAGTGAAGTACCAGAACTCAGAAAAAGGAAATGGTAACATTGCAAGTGAAGTTGATTTTTCTGATCCTGAAGCCCTTACTTATCATGCTACACAAAAGAAAGAGTAGTGTTCTCTGCCCTTCACAGACTAAGATTTCTTCTAAAGTGGATCCTGCCTGCAGCCTTTTCTTGTATGAGACAGGGCTTGAAATAATAGATTTTATATATTACCATCAAGGAAGGTATGTATTACTATCGGGTTGAATGTTCAGTGAAATACCATTTTTTGAGTTCTAATTTAGTATTTCAGAAGCATATTTTGGAAAAGAATGCTTTAGAAATGACTTGGAATTAGGAAGAGAAAAATTTCATGATAAATTGGAAGGAATGAACTTTTTTTCAGAATATTCATCCAACTAAAGTAAATGAAGCTGGGCCAGGCGCAGTGGCACATGCCTGTAATCCCAGCAGCTTGGGAGGCTGAGGCAGGAGGATTGCAAGTTCAAAGCCAGCCTCAGCAAAAGCGAGGCCATAAGCAACTCAGTGAGACCCTATCTCTAAATAAATACAAATAAGATCCGGGATGTGTTTCAGTGGTTAAACACCCCTGAGTTCAAACTCTGGTACCAAAATAAATTAATTAACAAATGAGTACCTAATATTTACAAGGAAAATAAATGAGTACCTAATAGTAGATGGAAAAAAATTTTGAAAGTCTAATATATGTTAGCACTCCAACACATTCTGTGTTATTGAATCTTTCTAGAATTAACTCCTTTTAATGGATAAGAAAACTTGTCAGAAATAATGGCCCAATGATAAATAAATGCCAAAGGTGGGATTCTAAATCTTTCCAGGTCTATGTTTTTTTGTTTTGTTTTAATATTTATTTTTTAGGTGTAGATGGACACAACACAATGCCTTTATTTATTTATTTATTTTTATGTGGAGCTGAGGATTGAACCCGGGTCCCGCCGGTGCTAGGCGAGCGCTCTACCGCTGAGCCACAATCCCAGCCCTTCAGGTCTATGTTTTGCTAAACTACAACAGAGGTTGTCCAATTGTATGTAAATATATGAAGAAACAAAATTTTATTAGAATACCTTTGCTGGACATGGTGGCATACACATGTAATTTCAGCTACTTGGGAGTCTGGAGCAGGAGGATCCAGGAGTAAGGTGATTTGGGGTCTGACTTCCAGATGCTGCTGTTGAGTTTGTTAGATAATTATACTCTTTAATAATGTTGTTATACAACTTAACAAGAGCCTGTTTCAAGAAAAGAAAAAAGGCTGGGGATGTAGCTCAATGGTAAAGTGCTCTTAGCTTCAATCTCCAGGACAAAAATTAAATAAATTTGTTTGACTGAATTGAGGTATAGGAAGAAGGTAGATGGTAAATGTGTTTTTTTTTTTTTTTCCAGTCATTTGTTTGTACTCTATCATAGCATTTATCACAATCTTGCAATATTATTACTTGTATATGTGTCTCCAATAGATTGTGAGTCACTAGAAGGTAGAGGCCAGGATTCTCTGATTTTCTCACATATCTTGGTAAATACTTCATATTCTTTTTTGTTTTTAATAGGCTGGGCAACTTTTTGGGGGAGTGGTACAGGGGACTGAACCCAGGGGTACTTTACCACTGTGCCACATTCCCAACCCTTTCTAATTTTTACTTTGAAACTATGTCTTGCTAAGTTATTTAGGGCTTCACTAAGTTGCTGGCCTTGAACTTGTGATTCTCCTGCTTCAGCTTCCTGGGTCACTGCGATTACAGATGTGTACCACCATGCCCAGCAATCAGTATCTTTTTGTAAGTTGTCTTTATTTCACAGTGCCTTGATTGTATCTTATAGTAGATGGACTATAAATACTGGAATAAAATTGTATCAAACCTTGTAAGACCAGTTGTCCTCAAAGAAATTGGTGGTATAGCTCATATCCTAGCAGTTCTCTTAGTGGGCTCAGCAGGGATGCTGGTCCCAGTGATTGAATAGACACGAAGCCAACATTCATCCTTTTCTTATCCTTTAAGACATCATATCATGTGCCAGTGTCTACTAAGCGTGGTAGCGGGTATAAACATAGCAGTGGGAGTTGAAATCTGGCTCAGCGTTGCTACAGTGGAAAAAAAATGCTGCAGGGATGTTGGTGTGGTAAAGGGGAAATACCATTGATATAAAAACTTAAAAAAAATCTGTTTTATACCTGGTTATGCTACTTTCTAACTTTGTGACTTTGAACAAGCAACTGTAGTCTCTGAGCTTCAAACTCATCATTTACATTGTGGGGAGAATGAGTTTCAAGGCCATTGCTACTCTAATCTGAAGGTAGGAAATTCATTTTACCCAAGACTTGAATTCATTTGAGATAATTATTGAATTTTTTTCCTCTGAGCCATTTGAGTAATTATTCTTGGGACACCAGGCAGTCTGTGTGATCATCTACGGCAGGTGCCATCCTGTTTATTTCAACTTTGAATGTACCCTAGGAGACACAGTGATGGAAACACCTGGTGCAGGAAATAGGCAAGAATACCTTTTCCTAACTGAATGGTTGAGTGCATTTATTCTGGAGCACATTAACCTTTTCTTTTGGGAGAGGCCAAATTAAGGTCTATTATTACCTCTAAAGACCATAATGTGACACTGGAGCTTCAGGATTGAAAAGTGAGATTGTTTTCATTTACAGCAGCAAGGCGATTTGGGCTCTGACTTCCAGATGCTGCTGTTAAGTTTGGTAGATAATTATACTCTTTAATAATGTTGTTATACAGTATGAGACAAGAAGCCCTTTTTCTAAGAATCCTGGAGCAAAAGCCAAAGTACCTTTGTTTGATCCATAGAGAAGGGATCTTCTCTTATTTTAATTAAAAATTGAAAGGCTTTATTTTCTTTATCCAGGGGACTCTTTTCATAAAAACAAATTGCTTTGTAAACTTGCGTAAGCACTTAGTGTCTCTGGTTCTCTCTCTCTCATTTGAAAAATGACAGGTTTGGACCAGCCAATCTCTAAAGTCCTTAAAGACCTTCTTCTGGCTCTACCTTGCCTTGATTTTAAGTATCTGCATGATTATACTGTTTCTTTGAGACTACCTGGTCCTTACTTTTTAAAAAATATATTTGTAGTTGTCAATGGACCTTTATTTTATTTATTTATGTGTGGTGCTGAGAATCGAACCCAGTGCTTCACACATGCTGGGCAAGCGCTCTACCACTAAGCCCCAACCCCAGCACCCCTGGTTCTTACTTTAGGATATTCTTCATCAGTGTAAAATGGAAGCTTAGAACTATTGGTTTGTAAACCCATTCTTCATGTTGTATCTTTTGGAGAGTTATTTCAGGTGCTCTGTTCCAATATACCCATTAAAAAATGAGGGGAAGGGCTGGGGATGTGGCTCAAGCGGTAGCGCGATCGCCTGGCGTGCATGCGGCACGGGTTCGATCCTTAGCACCACATACAAACAAAGATGTTGTGTCCACCAAAAACTAAAAAATAAATATTAAAAAATTCTCTCTCTCACTCTCTCTCTTTAAAAAAAAAGTGAGGGGAAGGAAAGTTTTTATCTATTTCCATCTAACGTGGAATGAATAATGATGATGTTTGGTGAAGCAGGAGGCACTGAACTAGGAGTCAGGGGACCGAGGTTCTGTCCCCAGCTTGTATCTAAGTTGTATGTCTTTCTACTAGTCACTAATCTTTTTGTGCTTCAGTTTCTTGGACTATAAATTATTAAAAAGCTATACTTTGAGGGTGCAGTATGTGCCAGATACCAGTGCCAGGCATTTTATGTATGTCATTTGTTATCTGTAGCAGCAAAGTGAGAGCAGATGGGAACTTAGACCTTGAAAGGCAAGTTGTGTTCAGTATCCCACAGGTAGGAAATGGCAGAGCTGAGATTAGAAGCCGCATCTTTCACTCCAAAGCAGTGTTCTTTCTACACCTAGACTGTTCTGTCTCATCTGCAGCATAGGAACCTACCATATATACTTCCTAGGATTGTTGCCAGGAACAGATAGGATATCAGATGTCACCACTTGTAGTCATTAGAATAAAGGGAACCCATGAACAGCTGTAGTGTAGTTAAACTCTGGGTTCTAATCCCAGCTCCGCTACTTGCCAGGTTTGGATCTTGGGGAAATTACCTAACCTTTCTCTGCATCATTTTGTCATCTGTCAAATGAAAATAGTACCAACTTTATAAGGTGTGATGAGGATTTTGAATAGTGTTTTGCATGTAGTGAACATTTAGCATATGTTAGTAAATATTAGTCCAGCGGGAATTGTCTTATTCAGTTCCCTAGCTTTAGATATGGTGAAACAGTGATTGCTTAAGATGAAACAACTAGCTAAAGACACTGAGAAGAATAAAATACTGAATTTTTACAAATAATGAATTTAATGCTAAATGTAGTGACAACATTAATCCCAATCCACACAGGTGAGTAGGGAAGGGAGAGACTAGAAGATTGAAAGGGTGGAGATAATAATTTATTTGGCAGGGACTCTGGGCCTTTCTCACTAACATTGGTTACTTATTACATAAGTCCATCAAACCACTAACTTCCTGATGTTAGGTCTGTGCTACAAAAGTCTTGAGAACAAATCTTTTTCTCTCTGGTTATATCTTTTCATGTTCTGTCAGATGTCTATGTATTGATTTTTTTCTCAATAAAACCCAGGACTCAGTGTTTTTTAAAATTTTTTATTTGTTCTTATTAGTTATACATGACAGTAGACTATATTTTGGTTTGTCATATATACATGGAGTATAAGTTCCTATTTTTGTGGTTGTACATGATGTGGAGTTACATTGGTCATGTATTCATATATGAACACAGGAACATTATGTTCAATTCATTCTACTGTTTTGGTTTGAAGTTTAAGAAAAAGGATCTACACGATCTATGTCAAACTACTACAGTTGTTTGTATAGGGATTAGAGGCCTAAGGCCCAGCTAATATAAAGTGTAACTTTATTACCTGGTTCCTGCTATCCCTTTCATTCATAAAACTCCTTTGGTGATTTCTTTTCTCCTTTTTTTTTTTTTTAAGTAAGATACTGGGGATTCATCCCAGGGATGCTCCAGCCCTTTTTTTATATTTTATTTAGAGACAGGGTTTTACTGAGTTGTTTAGGGCCTCGCTGAGTTGTTTAAGCCAACTTTGAACTTAAGATCGTCTGAGCCGCTGGAATTTGCTGGGATTACAGGCTTGCGCCACTGTGCCTCACCTCCTTTGGTGATTTTAACAAGTGTGGGATTTGGGCATCCCTTGATTACCATCATACCATGTGATGACATTCCAATCTCACCATTGTTTTTATTTTTTTTTTTAAAGAGAGAGGAGAGAGAGAGAGAGAAAGAGAGAATTTTAATATTTATTTTTTAGTTATCGGCGGATACAACATATTTGTTTTTTGTATGTGGTGCTGAGGATCGAACCCGGGCCGCACGCATGCCAGGCTAGCGCGCTACCACTTGAGCCACATCCCCAGCCCTCACCATTGTTTTTAATGTGTATGTATATACCTGTCAGTCTAAGTTTCAAAAAGAACATAATAAAGAATGCTTGACAAAACATTATTAGGGAATTTCGTAGTAGTCAGAGACAAGTCAGTGCCAAGCAGAAATTCAAGGAGTCTAGGAGACTCTGGAAGAAAGATTCTCATTTGTGTGACATTGATTTATTATTTTTTTCTTTATAGGTTGCCATGGTGACAGATTATGGAGCCTTTATCAAAATCCCAGGCTGTCGGAAGCAAGGTGGGTCTATAATTTGAAATTTAGCTCTCTCATTTCACTGTCTTTGCTGTAACCCCCACCAACATCATAATTGTAGGTTCTACATTTTTCAGAGTTTTTTTTTTTTGCATTTATATTTTATTTTGTTTTTAGTGTAAATATGAATACAGATAAGTAGTAATAGTTAATTTTTAGCAGGTTCACATGTGAGCATCTGTGTGTGTGTGTGTGTGTGTGTGTGTGTGTAGGTGTAAACCTAGAACCTCATGCATGCTAAACATATGTTCTACCACTGATTTATATACCCACAACCCATTTAGCAGGTCTTTTTTTAAATGTGTGTGGTACTGGGAATTGAACCCAGGGGCACTTTACGTAAACACTGAGCCATATATCCTCAGTCCTTATTTTTTATTTTGAGACAGGGTCTTGATACGTTGATTAGGGCTTCCCTAAGTTGCTGTAGTTGGCTTCAAACTTGCAATCCTCCTATCTCAGCTTCCTGAGTTGCTGGGATTATAGGCATGTGCCATTGCACTGGGCTCATTGAAGGTCTTGACTCAGAAAAATGTTGTTCTCTGACTTGGGAAAAAGGCTAGGATATAGCTAATTGGATTTATTTCTGGAATCAACTCCTCCCTAGACATCACCTGTGACACTAGGCAAGTCACTTGACTTCTTTGGACATAGAAATTTGGAGATGGCAAACTACTTCTCTGAGGCTGACATTTTGAATTTTCTAGTATGGTACATGAAATAGAATAGTACCTACTTATTTATTTATCTATTTATCTATCTATCTATTTATTTATTTATTGATCATGATTATGGGGATTGAACTCAGGGTCTCACAAATGCCAGTGTTTATTTTTTAAGAGTTGGAGTCTGGGGCTGGGGTTGTAGTCAGTGGAAGTGTGCTTGCCTAGCATGTGTGAGGCGCTGGGTTCAATTCTCAGAACCACATATGAATAAATAGATAAATGTCCATCAATAACTAAAAAAATATTTTAAAAAAGAGTTGGAGCCTGGTGTCTTGCTCAGGTTGGTTTCAAATTCCTGAGCTCAAGTGATCCTCGCACTTCAGTGTCCTAAGTCGGTGGGGAAACAGGTACATGCCACCATGCCTCGCTTCCAAAACACATATTAGCCAGGCATGGTTGTGCACGCCTATAATCCCAGCAGCTCATGAGCCCAAGCCAGGAGGATCTTACGTTAGAAGGCAGCCTCAGCAATTTAGCAAGGCCCTGTCTCAAAATAAAAAATAAAAAGGGCTAGGGATGTAGTTCGGTGGTTAAAGTCTTCTAGGTTCAATCCCCAGTACCAAAAAAATTATAAATGCAATACTTTAAATTTTCTTCATAATACATAAACATGTGTTGAATAATTTTTGGAGATTCCCTCTTATATTTACAATCTTGTTTGTAAGAATAGTTGTGTTAAGTATAAACAGGAATTCCACAGATGGGTGACCTGCCCAGAGTGAATTAAATTGATAATGGCACAACTAAGACTAGAATCTAAACCTTCAGATTCCTAGCTTCATGGGCTTTCTGCTTTATCACACAACATGCTAGTGAATCCAGAGACTCAACTTGCCAACTACTTATGCTAAAATAAGTTAAAAATTTTAACAGAAAGATATAGTCATAAGAGAAAAATATGAAAGAATATTTCACTACATAAAAATAAAAAAAATAGGGCTTGGGATGTGGCTCAAGTGGTAGCGTGCTCACCTGGCATGCGTGAGGCACTGGGTTCGATCCTCTGCACCACATAAAAATAAAAATAAAATAAAATATATTATAAATAAATAAATAAATAAATAAAATTAAAGAAAGAAAAAAGTAAAAAGACAGTGATAAAAATCATTAGCAAAGTTAAGTTGGGAAAAAGAATTTGTAATACACGTGATAAAAAGAGCTAATAAAAAATGGGGGGAATAGTAGGAAAAGGAACCAAAATATGAAAAGACAACTCACAGGAGAAAATGTAAGTCATTTGGTCAATGTATTAAAAGATATTCATTCTTAGTATTGATAAAGTTACATAAACAGTGGTCCATTTGCATAATGGAATACTACTCAACAATAAAAAGGAAAAAAAAAAACATCAATACATGCGGCAATGTGGATCAATCTTCAGATAATTAAGCTCAGTGGAAAAAGCTAATCCCAAAAGGTTAGACTTTTTATAATTCCATTTGTGTAACATCCCTTTAAAAAATAGCCTTATTAAGGATAATGCACGTACTATACATTTTACCTAAAGAATACATTTCATTGTTTTTTGGTATATTCACAGGGTTTTGCATCAATCACCACCATCTAATTTGTGCTCTACCTCTGAGTCACAACCCCAATCCATGCCTATGTATTTTTTTAAAGTTATTGCATATGTTTAGAAGAAAGCATGGGAGAATATTCAACAATTCTTTTATCTCCCCCCGCCCCCAGTGCTGGGAATCGAACACAGGGCCTTACACATGATGAGCAAGTGCACTACCACTGCACTATATACCCAGCTTTTTTTTTCTTCCTTGAAACAGGTCCTCTTGCTAAATTTTCCAGGCTCCTCCTGTCTCAGCCTACTGAGTAGCTGGGATTATAGGTGTATACCACCATACCCAGCTAACAAATTCTTAATAATAATCGCCTTTGGGGAGTTGGATTTGCTAAAGAAGGGATTACATGAAAGAGAGAGATTTTTACTTTTTCAAAAAATATATTTTTTAGTTGTACATTGATGCAATATCTTTATTCATTTATTTGTTTTATGTGGTGCAGAGGATCGAACCCAGTGCCTCACACATGCGAGGCAAGTGCTCCACCACTGAGCTACAGCTCCAGCCCAAGGACTTTCACTTTTTGCCATTTAAAAAAAATACTCTTGGGTGTGGGGGGGTGCTGGGGTTGAGGCTCAGAGGGTAGAGTACTCACTTAGCATGTGTAAGGCCCTGGGTTCGATCCTCAGCACCACATAAAAATAAATAAAATAAAGGTATTATGTTCAACTACAACTAAAAAATAAATATTTTAAAAAAATATATTTTTTGGGCTGGGGTTGTGGCTCAGCGGTAGAGTGCTCGTCTAGCACGTGCAAAGCCCTGGGTTCGATCCTCAGCACCACATAAAAATAAATAAAATAAAGGTATTATGTTCAACTACAACTAAAAAATAAATATTTAAAAAATATATATTTTTTGGGCTGGGGTTGTGGCTCAGCGGCAGAGTGCTCGTCTAGCACGTGCAAAGCCCTGGGTTCGATCCTCAGCACCACATAAAAATAAATAAACAAAGGTATTGTGTACAACTAAAAAATAAATATTTTTTTTTAAAAAAATAAAAAATATTTTAATATATATATATATATATATATATATATATATTTTTTTTTTTTCTTTCAAAAGCCCAACAGCTGATCTTTGGATAATAAAGCCTGCCTCTAGCCTTGGAAACCACTGTGCTGCAGATTGCATCTTTGCATTAGAAATGGCTTACCAGTGGTTTTCAAGCTGGCAGTCAGCAGTCTGTAATTAAGTTTCTCATTTTATGTTGGCTGGGATTTAATGAGGTGGAACTCATCCCCACCTCTATAGGACCTGCACCTCTTCCTGTCTGAAGGCAGATTTTCTTGTTAGTGTACTTGCCTACCACTGCCAGTGCCTGAAAGTGCCATTTTTACTTAGACTTTTATGTGACACTTTGGGAACTATCTGGGGATTAAAGGCTGCTACCCTTCAACAGTCAGTTTTCAACTTACTTGTGTCTGTACTCTGTCAGGTAATGCCTCTGATTGTGGCTGACAGCTTACAAGTGAATCTGTCAGTCTGAAGCTGTGCTGAAACAAGCCTTGGAGAGGGAGCTCAGAGGACCAAATTATTACATGGAAACTGAGTTCTAATCCTGGCATTTTCTGTGGGGTTTTTGGATAACTTAAGCTATTGATTTCTCTATAGTCTCTTAGTGTCTGTAAGGGAGATGATCATTAGGACTGAACAATGGAATAATTGTAGTCTGATCAAATCTTAATGTCTTTGATTCAGGAAGAAGACTCTAAGTTGAATTAGTTTCCCAGACTTTTATTCTTTGAATTCTTTACCCACTGCTGAATTGAAGACCCCCTCCTAGGATTTAGATATAACGATTTTCTTTTTCCTTCTCATAGTATTGTTCAATAGAACTTTCTGTGATGCTGTTAATATCTCTCTCTGTTCTGATTTGTTTTCTGGACACTAATTCTCCATGTCTTTGGACACCAAGCAGGTATCCGCCAATTCAATTCTGACATTACCTACCTTGAGTTAGCATTTAATCCCACAAGTTAGAAGGGCTAAGTTCTGTAAGATTGCCTGCATTTTAGATGCCCCTCTACTTCTCACTAACCAGTTGTAAATTAGGTTCCCACAGAACTCAGGAAAGCACTTTTATGGGCTATAGTAAACACTTCACTTATCATAACTCAGGAATAGCCAAGTCATAGAAGAGATGCACAGGGCCCCGTATGAGTGTAGTAGGGTGGGAAGCTTTTATGTCCTCTCTGGTGAAGCCCTCCCAGCACTAGGATGGATTTACCAACCCAGGAACTCTACAAATCTTCTGTGGGGGAGTTTTTATAGAGCTCTCCCTCCAGCTCCCAAACCCCTTTTCCTGGAAATGGTCAGTCAGTGGGTGGGTCTGAACATTGTGACCTTCTAATCACTTGATCTTTCTGATGACCAGCTCCATCTGGAGGTTATCAAGGCACCCACTCTGTCACCTTGTTAGCATGAACTCAAAGTATGATCAGAGGGGGCCTTCTCATGAACAAAAGACACTCCTGTCACAAAAGAAATCCCAAGGGTTTTAGGGATTATTAGCCAGGAACAAGGACAATATTTTTATATTATACCACATCTGTGCTGTTCAATACAGTAGCCTTGAGATTTAAATTTTTTTAAAATACTTTTTAGTTGTTGGTGGGCTTTAGTTTACTTACATGTGGCGCTGAGAATCGAACCCAGTGCCTCACACATGCTAGGCAAG